AGTGCTCGGATTACAGGTGTGCGCCACCACACCCAGCCTATAAAAAAAAAACTTTTTTAAATGAAAAAAAAAAAAAAAAAACAGAAGCTGGGGTGAGAAAACCACCCATGCATGGTGTACAGAGAACTGTTGTTGTTTTTGTTTTTTTAAAGGAAAAACTGTTTGTAAGATGTTGCACTAAAACATTTTATATACACTTCAGAGACCTGTAGTAAATTATGTTGACAGCAGCTGTTTCCATTTTCTGAAGTTGGCCCTCCTCCCTGCCCTTGCCGAGCTGTGCCGTGGGGGCCTGGATTTCTCCCTTGGCATTGGCCTGCTAGGCTTGAAGTCCACGAATTACAGCCTTTATGTCACGCCCCACCCCGGGCCTAGAGGATGCTTCTGTGTAACAGTGGAAAAGCAAACCAAACCCCACTTCTCCTTCAAGACACTTGCTGCCATCTGCTGAGAAGTGTCTGCTCCGACTGGTGAAACTGCTACTCCTCGGGCTGTGAGGGCACTTTGGGCACCTGCTGGGCAGGTTTGGAACATGAAGTGTATAACCCCGAGGCTTTGTCCTTTTTCATTATGGTGGGGAGGATGCACTCGGAGGGGACTGGTAAGAAGGGATTCAGGAACTAGGACACCCTTCCTCTAGGCTCCCAGGGCTCTACCATCCTTCTCAAGCCATGTAATACACTGGGCCTGGACTGGTCAGCAAGCATTTTCCAAGGCTGTGGTCAGTCAGGAGCTGGGCCCTGCTATTCACAACCCATCCCCGTTCGCCACACTCAAACGCTGCAAGGAGCTCACCGTGTGTGCCCGCTGTGTGTGCCAACGGAGAAGAGTGGCAGAATGATTAAGGCCGTGGCGTGACATGTGGTTGGTCAGAATCCCCCTGTGGTTCTTTAAAGTTCGCAGAACATGCAGAGGAACCAGGCTGAAGGTAAAAAGCAGAGGCAGTGCTTCCCTTTCCTGAAGTCCAAGACAGCTTACCATGCGCTTTCCTCTGCCCACAGCCCTATTTGTAGCATCCTTATCAACTCCCTGCAGCTGCTGGCTCGGCTGTGAGTTTAAATGTTACTGTTTGTCCCTTGGGTGGCCGTGGTGGATCATGTTAAGTCTTCGGTATTATTTTTGCCTAATTTCTTTTCCTCCAAACAGTGTCTTTCTGCCAAGAACTAAATTTTTAGAAAGGAGATAGAGTACGATGAAATAAGATTGCCCCTTTATGCCCTTTGTGGAACTCTGCCCAGTGTTCATATAAATAAAATGACTGTGTGCCTCCCCGTGAGGTACACAATGAAAGAAAGCACAGCTCACGTTTATGCAGAGGGAGGGGCAGTGCCCTGGTCCCTAGGTCCTGGGAGCCCTACGTTTCACAGGAGCAGTTCCGAGGGTGTAGAGGAAACTAGAGCCAAGCCCTGGGGAGCAGCAGGCAGGAAGAGTGGTCTCAGGCCGGTGGGCCATCCTTCCTTACCTTCTGATCATCTAGCGTGTCAAGGCAAAACACCAGTGATGGGATGAAAAATACGTCTAGCAGCCCTTTCCACGACAGCTCCTTCGTCCATGAAGGGAGCCATTTTGGCTGTCTGCCGAACACACTGTGGGGCAGTCTTTCTGGGCCACTGTTGATTCATAAAGTCAGCTAGGCCCGGCACGTGAGTGCTCATGGAACCGTGGTATTTCTCTTCACGAAAGCTGGCTTGTAGGTCAAAGGAGAGTCTGACCAAGGAAGGTGTCATGAGTCGCTCCTCATCCAGAGCCTCGAGCACAGGACCTGGGGGGGCTCTTCTGCCTATCCCAGGTAACTGGGTCATCATTTCCTCCACCCTGCTTTGAGGGTGTTGCCGGCTCTTGCTGGTCGGTGCAGATGCAGCAGAGCTGTGTACCAGTCCACATCCCTTTATCGCAGCCTGTGCCTGTGTCAGAGAGCAAGTGAAGGCTTTGGATCTGGCTCGGTTTAGATTCTCAGTTCTGCCCCAGCTGTGTGTACCAAGCCTTTTACCTTTTCCGAGCCACTGTTTCTGTATCTGTGAAAACAGGGACATGAGTAAGATCGATCCAGCTGATACTCAGCAGATTCTTGCTGTTCTGTCTCTTCCCAGTGCAAAACCTCTCAGGGGTCCCACGGTGCCTAAAGGTCTGACTCATCCTACCTCCTTTGCAAGTGGCCCGAGTTCCTGCCAGTCCAGGGCAGGAATTTGACTTCTTCACATGTTATCTCCCCACTGCATCTGCCTTGGTTCTCGATATCTAGGTGACAGGCTTCCTGACACAAGACATTAGTCCCAGAAACGTCACCAACAGAGACACGTTTCAGGAGTTTGCAGCAATTTAAGGACTACTTCATGAATTCCTGCAGTACAGTTTAAGCACCTTGAGTGACTGGGTTCTCTACCTGAGCATGATAAAGAGCGTGGCGATAAACAGGCACATTTCCCCTGTCTCACAGCTTGTAACAGGCTTTGGGGTCATTTGGGCGGCAGAGTGCTGCTCACATACGAAGTAAGAGTTCTCTGACCTGCGTTGGCCAGGCAGGGGCAGCTCTGCTTCCTCTGTGGATGTGGAGAGCTGGTCCTGCGGGAAGACCTTGGCCCAGTATCGGTGCACTTGGTTGTCCTGCACCCCTACCAGTCGTCTTTACGATCCCCTTTCTTTTCATGTTTGAGGAAAGCATGCTTCAGAGAGGGTGTCTTCTCCAGGGTGCCCTGCTGAATAACTCGCAGGAAAAGCCAGTACCAATCTGTCCAGTCTGCTCCCGTTGCTAGAAAACGAGTGAAGCGCTTCAGCCCAGTCCCGCTGCCTTCACCTCCGGTGCCAGCCCACTGGGGTGCCGCTCTGCATCCCCTGCAGCTCAGTGCTGCCTCCATCAGGACACCAGGGCTAAGCAAAAACACTGGTGCTGTGGGAGGAGTGAAGATCAGCCTGTTCTTTAAAATGCAAGTCATTGGGCAAATGGACTGGAACCCCCCCCCCCGGTGAGAAAGGGAAGGACACAGGTATGAGGGTCTGGGCTGAGCAGGACCTCTCCTCAAGGGGTCTTAGGGACACCCCGGGGCAGCCCTGGAGTCCTGGGCAACAGGTCCTCTGGTGCTGTTGCTGAGAACAGGTAAGCAGAGGCCTTCTGAGGCCCTGGGGCCACACAGGGTTGTCTTGGGCTGCAGAGCTCTGTGGCTGCAGGTAGGCTCCTTCTGTTTGGGTTTGGCTGGCTTCAAGGCAGAGGGACAGCACAGGAGAAACAGTCCAAGGCACCCACACAGTAGCAAAAGCAACAAGAGACCTGAACAGCTTTTTTCTACCCCGTTACCTTACTCAAGCTACTTAGGGTGGGTAGCACTCACACCCTTAAACCTACTGCTCTTGGGCCTAACCTTGCACCATGAATCAGTCACACACTCACTCTGGATCCAACCACCTCTGAAAAAGCCCCACCTGAGGCCACCTGAGACTTTAGGGAGACAGCTTGCACAAGCCATAACACTTAACTCCCTTTTCTTGACCCAGCATTCTAAATTCTAAAGAGTTGCTTCTCTGAATGATGAAACCACCTTTCTTGTTACACAACGCAGAACATCTGGTGACCTTTGGTTTGTATCACATTGCCTGACACAGTAACACCCCTTTTTATTTTTTATTTTAGGACATCAATGAACATCAAGCATGTAAACTGCTGTGAGGTTTAACATGCAGAAGAGGAGGTTGTGTGTCTAAGGAACTGCAGGGACCTGCCCCAGAAAGCCCAGGTGCATATGATGTCCCCAGAGGAGGAGAAATTGAGACACAGCCTTGGATGACACGTAGGATTCCTACATTGTCCCTCTGTTCCTGCATTCCCTCCATGTACCCCTGAGCTCACTCAGACAGAGTTTGAAGAAGGGTGGTCCCTCCATTTTAGGGCCAGCTGTTGGAGAAAATTGATTTCCTCCTCACCAACTCTCCTCTCCTGAGTGTTGGCTTTCAAGTGGATCAAGATCCAGTATCAGGTCCAACTAGGGAAGAAAAGGACTGGGCTCCTGTGCTGTTTGGGGGTTTTTCTTCCCTCTGCAGATCCTTCTCAAATCACCACCCCCAGCCCCAGCCTCCAGCCAGCTCACTCAGTGTTGTTCATCTCAAGGAGCGAAGCTTTCCCTCCCTCCCAAGGTAGTTTTGTCAAGGACTTAAGTGGATCCTTTAACCACTTCCTCAGCCTGTGAATTCACCCTGAACTGGAGCTGGGGAGCCCAGCACCACTTTGTCCAAAGAACCAGGCTCGGCTCACCGTCCCTGCCGCCCTCTCCTCCCTCCCTCGGGCCACCATTCACAGCTTTTCAGAAAGCAGTACACCAGGAAGCGGTGAACGAAAAGGCACCGAAGTGTCTGAGCAGGCAGTGGCCTAGGCAGCACAACTACTGTTCTTTTCCCCTCCCTTTCTAGCATCTAGAACTGTGTTCATCCCTTTAATGCTATGTCTCCACCTGAATCTTCTTAACGCGCCTGCAGAATAGGTCATTTTTACCTCCCGTGAAGTCACAGTCAGACTTCCTGAGCACGGCAATAGCCCCCTTGCTAGCTAGCTACTCACCTTTCTTGGAAGTGTTCCCCTTGTGGACCCTTGTTCATGATTATCAGGTCCATCCGTCTCCATTCACCAGTTCATTGCTGCATGCCTGTGGGGTACATGCAGCCACTGAGACACTGGGGGAAGACACTGGGAGGTGCTCTGAAATAGCTACATGGTGAGGTAAAGAAGTATGGATTGTGGGTGGGGAAACATCATTCGTAAAATCAAGTATCATGAAGCAGTGACTTCACGGAAGAGAGGGTATTTGTACCTGACCTTCAAGGACAGGTGATGTGTGGGCATGCCATGATGAAGAGGGGGAGACTAGGTAAGA